CCCCAAAACAAGACATGAACTGCTTCATATCTTTTGAATTACTTCAAGGTCATTTTATTCATTCAGTAAAGATAGTCTGTACCATGGTGCTATGCTCTAGAAAATTACTTTGCTATGCTCTAGAAAATTACCTATTTCTAAAGCAATTGTAATGTCGACACGCACGTTATTGTTTGATTCTTTAAAGTTGTTTGACTATTTTGTACACTATTTAATATCTAAAATAGTGCAGATGATTGTTCTGTTGGCGTCTAGTTTCTTAACACGTACTCAACCACAATCTACATCATTTTTTGATCCACTTCACTGCAAGACAGCAACAAGATTGTTTTCCAAACCTTTTCCAACAAGTCATGAAACAGTTTAATATTATTTGAATTAATTCAAGGCTATTTCCTTCATTTAGGTATACACATTTACACAAGCTTTGTACCACAGTAACGATGCACTACAATACTTTCGGAACATACTTTAAAGTTTGTTCAACTATTTTGTACACGATTTTGAATGACTTCATGAATACGTTTTAGATTTACTTCACTACAAAGAACCAAAATGTTCTCAATAGGTCTAACCTGGCTCTGTGACCATTCTACTATTTTATAACTATACTGTTTGTTTATTCTGAGATCACATACATAGCATACGAGTACCAATAAACGTATTATTATACCCAATAGTTTTCATTTATCTATTTTGGGGCCTGAATTTTGTGTAGTGAATAAGTTGTTTAGAAGTATGGCGGCCTGAAAAAGGTGAATTTATGTACATTTCTACATAAAATTACAAAATTTTAGGGTTTAGCATTGAAATATTGAACCCAAACTTTAAAAATAATAAGAATAAAAGTAATACTTTATATTTATGACATAATCACATTTTGATCAAATTACAAGTTATACTGTCTATTTAGGCCTTTTTCTCGAAACCTGCAGGTGATGCGAGTTTACAGCCCTTTCGTGGTCTTGGGTCACATATGTCTTTTAATTATTTTTTTTTTCTTTATGTATAGGCTTAAGAATGAGATAAAATTACCAAAACTTTTCAAGAGACGGAAAACCTTGAATTTTGAAGAACTTAAAAGGTCATTAAAAGACACCTCAGAAGTCGGGAAAGCTCATTTCCGGCCATCTAGGAATCAAAATTTTCCCGGGAGAGGATCCCCACCCCCTTCATTTTTGGGTATTTGGGAACTTTCTGAACCCCCCTCTTTGAAATCCCTGATCCGCCCCTGGAGGGTAGGTTGAGTCTACATACAGGTAGAATTTAGGCCTTTTTTCCTATTCAAAACCTAATTAACTTGTGGTCTGTCAAAAAGTGGTCAGATTGAAAACTGACCAACCGTACCGGTGGCTACGGCCCTGACAAAATAACATGTTTTATTAGGCCTATATTGAAAAAAATGTAAACTTTTCACACAATTCGGCCAAATATAGTTTGGCCGTGACTTTTTAAACGTTACGGCCAGGCAAATTTTTATACCGTCAAAAAGGCCAAATGGCAACCCTGGTTTGGTCCTGGGGTCACATGAGCAGCTTAATTTACGAATGTCGCAACAAAACACACGTGGGCTGGTTGTTGAAACTTGCTGTTCGATGTTCCAGGTGGCTTGTACCGTTATAGAGAGAATGATCCGCTATAATTTCAGAATAAAAACTTGTGAAATTAATTTATGCTATAATAACACAAGTTGTAATAATTATTTTACTTGAATTTGACTTTAGAAAGGCATTCATCATCTGCGCATGCGTAAACTTTGTATCACACAATTGTTTTTGTTTATAAAACATGGTGCGTGATGAGTGCATGCTTCACGCAATGGGCTGTGAGTAATGACTTTGGCCTAGAATTACCAATATATTAAGCTTAGTACGACTGTTATTAGTCACCATAATAATAGAATGATTGCTTAAAATAGATAGGCCTAAATACTGTATACTCAATAAGTACAGTATTTATTTTCTTAGATTTTATTAAACTAAACTGATTTATTACTGAAAATTTAACGTAGCGCGACCGTCTAGCATGAAATGGTGATTTCCCTAGAGCAAGAATACGTTGTTTCATTATGGTAGCCTGAAGTTTACACGCATTTCCAGTTGTTTATGTGAACATTTGTAAATAATGAAAAAAAAATTAAAATTGAATGGGAACGGTTTGGAGCTTAAAAAATAGGTGCGGCTTATACACAGGTGACAAAAAAATTGTGATATTTCGCGTCCTAATTAGGGGTGCGGCTTATACACCAGAATATAAGGGACCTTTTGGCATTTTATCGTGTGATACCGTAGCTCGGCGAGTTTGCTGAGCGTGTAAGTAGGCTTATGTGATGAAAGTCCGTCGTCCTCAAGCAGTGGTGAGCGACATTTACACCCTGGATCGAAGAAGGTCACTGCTATGGTGGGATCATCACCCGTCAGATTTTTTCAAAGCGTACCCATTAATGCTGATAATGATGATGAAGACGGGGTCCCCTTGGCAAATGAAGTGAAATCGAGGATAATGTGGAAGGACAACAATGTATAGCATTAGCACAACATAACAAAATTATTAAAAACACCTTTTCTGTACTTTCCATGCTTTTCAAAAAAAAAAAAAAAAAACAAAACAAAAAAACAGAAAGAAAAAACAAAAAAAAAAACGCATCGCCGCATCAATTCTTTAACTTTGGTCTGACCAGAGACAGAGAATATATTTTTTTTGGCCTTATTGGCAGTCAGAGGGTTTCTTCTTCTTAGTGAAGGGCCAACTTTACAGTTGAAGGCTTCTGCCCGATGTATGTGGACTACTCATTCCTACAACTTACTTCTCCCATAAGGGTCCCGTCATGTCATGAGCAGGCCAAGAAGGCGCTATGAGATGGACCAGCACACCGAAGTAACCCCCTAATCGTCTCAAAAGTAGTACTGGGTTCTTGATAGTGCACAAGAGACTTGTTCCACCTCCAGAACCATAGGCGTGTGCGTGCCATTTCAAACCAATGGCAATAATATCGCTCTAGATTGCGGCGCCCTGCCTCAACAAGGTACTAAAAAAGTATCGCCTAGTTTATAATATTTCTGTTTAATGTAAATGATGGCCCCTTTTTCTTTCCCAATTTGATGTAATTTTAATTGAATTTTGTGCAATGCTGGATGATTGTTTTTTTTTTTTTGGTTTTTTTTTACCTTTCCTTCTTGAATTTATATATTTGATAACAACAATAACAATTATAATGATTAATAATAAAAAATAATAGATTTTATTACGCATGATTTTTAAACCTGTTGTGTACTTCTGATGTTTCAAATTTAATGTATTTTAATGTTACTTTTATCTCCATTTTTCATGTCTTGTGCTTGTGTGTGATTGATGTTTTGATGTTTTAATATTAGCCTACATTTTTTGTGGCTGTGATTTTGATTTGAATAAAAGAAACTGAAACTAAGATAATTTCCTACCTGAATAGAAGCAACAGTGCAGGCTGCATTGAGGCAAAATAGAGGATATATAGGGAACAAAAACCGCTCCTCCTACAACACAAAAGTTGTAATGCTATTAAAATTTCTTTAATAGTAATAATGATTGAAATGTAGAAATGCTCCTTTTATGCCGCACAGTAAAAGCATAGCCTCCCAACAGTCTGCTTTTTCTCTAGGAATTGATAAGTAGGAGTTTGAAACCAATTAGACTTACCAATCTTTAGTTATCGTGGTAACAAATAAGTTACTACAACAGCGACGACATGACAAAAAATTACAATTTCACCTAAATTAGAATTTTTCTTCAGAAATTATGATAGTATTTAGCGTAAATTTCCTGATTAGTGAAATATTAATTATGCAAATGAGCAATTAGCATATTCACACACATACAAAATTAACAGACTCCATCTCTTATTACCATCTTGCATTCTGCCAAGTTTGAAAGCAAAGACTTGCCAAACTTCAGTTATCGTGGTAAACCAACCAATTATTTAGTGAAATATTAATTATGCAAATGAGCAATTAGCATATTCACACATGTACAAATAAACAATATCCTCTATCTTCTAAGTATGATCTTACAATCTGCCAGCATATTCACACACGTACAAAATGCAACAGGCTACGTCTTCTTGTTTCGATCTTGCATTCTGCCAAGTTTGAAACCAATCAGACTTGTCAACGTTTAGTTATTGTAGTAACAAACGAATGACCAATGACAAGGACGACGACAACAACAACATGAAGAACATAGGTAAAAACAATAGCCTCCCCGGAGCTTCGCTCCTTTGGGGAGGCTACTTATTATTTAATAAAACCATACCTTATGAGGCCTTGTGAAAAATATGAGGATCCAAATATACATTGATACCAGACTTAGCCAAGGTGGTATCGACTGGCGCGTCATGTCCATTTTGGAATTTAAAAAGCTAAAAACTGCTATCTGAAACACAGGGAAACAGGCTAAATTGATACGAGAAGTGAAATCTGTAATAATATTTATTTTTATAAGTCAATCGTGAGGTCATCACTGCAACTCCCAATGTTATTTGCCTATCCCCCACAGTCCACTAATTTTTCAATATTGAATTTTTTTAGGTTCGTGTGCAAAAAAATACTGAATTTTTCGTCACTGCGGAGCGATTGCGCACCGCGATGAAAATTGAATGGTAATTGGAAAATTACTTTCATAAAACAAGCCTAATTGGAACCCGAATAAAGTTACTTAAAATTCAATATTAAGTATGAACAATTAAAGAATTCCTTGAATCAATGAACCCTAATAAACTAAACAAACTGAACGCTTAATAGGAATATTCTAGACCCATTTTAAAGACTCGAGGAATGAAATTAGATGTAGGCCTAAGCTAGGGAGGCCGTCGAGGCATTCTCCTCCTTCCCTAGGCCGTAGCCTAGCGTAGTTGTGAAATCATCGCACAATTTTTACCTGTCTGCACCGACTGTATTCTCTCTTGATGCTTTAAAAAATGTTTATTTCTTTGACAAATGTATCAAAATAGCATTAAAAACAAGTTCTTCTAACACAATACAAATTAATCGTTATTCATCGTATTCGTACTTTACTGCTGATGTGTAGTTAACGCGTACTGCAGGAGCACAAATCAGCATACGCACAGCTAAATGTAAATATGCACACAGTATACTGATCATATCACTAAAGCTACTGATGACTGCTACAACAGTTGGTTATTAAAACTAACATTAAAAGACGGCGATTGACTTATAAAGCAATTAGTAGAGCTCCGGACAGTACACTATAGGAAAACTATTGTACCAAGGTTAGATTTAATGCATTCAAAAATTCCCTTCGGTCCTTGCAGGCCCTCAGGAAATTTTTTCAAGCATTACATCTAACCTTCGTATAATAATTTTCCTATAGAGTACTATCTTGAACTCCACTAATTGCTTAATATTGGAGTTAATTAATACACTTTATGATTTTTAGTGTTTCACTCTTAAAATCTAATATTATGTGTATTCAATCCCAGTGGACAGCTTCGCTCCTGGATGCATATCTTAGCCCTTCCACTGGTAGTAATATATGTAACCTTATGTTTTACTTGTTTAAAAATATGGTTAAAAAAAATTTCATTACTGTGATAACTTACTGTAATTGGTAAGCCTACTAGTGCCATGGGAAACGCAATGTTAAAATTTAGGGCACCGTTGAGAAAATAAAAACTCCAAGGCTCGACTCCTGGAAACAAAAACGAAAAAAAATAACCAGGTCAAAATAAATTATTTGAATAGCACTTTTGACAGGTTACCCAGAAATTGGCACTCCAGCAAGAAAGCAAAAACATAGGCTATGTTCTCACACGGCTGCTAACGGTTAGCAGGATCCGGATCCTGCTAACCATTAGCTGCCGTGTGTCCATACAAGAAAATCCCGATCTGGATACCAAAAATGTGATGATCGAATCACTGGCCAATAAAAAACTGGAAATTGTAAATGCGTACGCGTGGTTAGTTGATGATAGAAATGAGCTCAACTCTTGCTAACCAATAGTGCTTGCTAACCGTTAGTGGTATCCAGATACTGCTAACGGTTAGTGCTAAACCGATCGGGCGTTCTCGCACAGGTGCTAACGGATAGCGCTAACGGTTAGCTCCCGATCCGGATACTAGGGCTCTCGTGAGAACCAGGCTTTAGTCTATTCTAAAGCTTTGTCCACTGTTGTATGCCCATATAGTCATGCTGTGCCTATATGTGGTCATGATGTGATGTCATCATGACCATATTTAGGTATGTCACATTTTTTTGTCCAATCAAATTTGATAGTCTGGACAGGACTAAAATCACTTAAAGTAAAGAGAACAATCAAATGTACCGTTATAAAATGTCTGACATTACTTACCATAAATATCTGGGCCATGCTCACTGAAGACATTATATAAAACAATATTTAAAGGAGCAATTACAAGTTTTCCATAGTAATAACTATCAATCATCACTTGCGGTACCTTTAAAGAAAAAAGAAGTACATTATAGTAGAGTGCCCAACTTACAGAACCATATGGATAGTTTCAATCTTGTCAAAATTCAATACCCCCACAAAAAAAACAAAAAAAACAGAAAAAAAAAACAAAAAAAAAACCTAATTATAAAATGATTGAAGAGGGGTTTTGAAAAAAATTGTTTAACTAAATAATTGATTTACTTATTGTCCTAAATTTTTGTAGGAAACTTTACTGACTCTGAAAAAGCCCCACTTCATACTGGAGCAGTGGTGAATTGTAAGCATAATTGGAACACTATGTCCAACCCCGATTAAGAGGAAGGTTATTGGTCACAAATGTGTCCCATCAATAAGGATTCTACTGTATGTAACCCGAGCTGTTTACTTACTAGGATTACGCACACAGCAATGATACACCATTTAACAAAGTCAAACACTTCTTTTCTCCTGAAAAGTATATCGACTGCTATAGGTATGCTAAGAAGTAGAAAATAGTACTGTATATGTCAATATCTGTATACATAAAATTATAATATACTTGATGGTAAGAAAGATGTTGGTTACAAGTTCACATTTAATAATCTTGAATTAATAATTTAAAAAGGTTTAAAGAAGTAAGCTGTAATAGTTTAGTGACAATATTTGCACGATTTATTATATTACACAAATCAATTGTGATGTTAGTAATGAGTTGAATCTTTAAGGAATGATACTATTGTTCGGGAAATTTGCGGACCCCATTGGAAATAAGTTCCAATTGGAACTTTTATGGGCTATTCAGCATCTCTTGAATTCCGTCCCTTTTTTTTGTGTATGTATTTTCTTGTATTTTATGTATTTTTTAATGACTTTTGCTGTTATTTTAAGAGATGCAAATAAAAAAATTCAATTCAAGGGAAAGGATTTGTATGTAGCACCCGATGTCAGACGGTTCCCTTTTGGCAACAAAGGCTCATCAAATCACTGAATAAGATGAGAGGAAAGATGTTAAATGATTGATGATAGCGATATTAATGGTTGATGACAGCCATCCTGCTTGTCGCTAGTCAGTTGGTAGAGGGCGCTATGCAACACAAGACAATGCAAGAAGATGATTGGCTGATAGGGGATCAACAAATTGCAAGTACATGTAATTTACTTGGTTTCAATCAAAAAGTAATTACAAAAACAATTATGTAGTAATGATGGCGATTCATATAATAGTGATTATTAGATTAATTGGATGGCTGTAATATAGATGTTAATGATATTGCTGATTAATATATAGATGATAATTATAATGATAATGATGTCTGTAATGATTATAGAGATTATGAGTTAAGTAATGATGTAATAGTAATGATGTAATAGTAATGATAGCACAGATGTGATGATGGTTATAATGGAAATGGTGATGATTAGGCCAAAAAAAAAAATGTTTGTTTGCCCTCCTAACTCACTGAAAAAAATAGGGGCATGAAAAACAAACACCTTAAAAAAGTTTTTTTTGTTAGCTTTTTTCTTTACAATTTATCTATTTTTTGCCAGATGCCCTACAAAGTTGTTGTCTGATGTAAGATATTGCCATTATAGGCCTCTGTGGGTTATTTTTATTCCATCTGATAAGTATCTTTAAAAAAAAAAAAAATAAAAAAAAAATTTAAAAACTTTTTCTACCTGCCCCTATTTATCATTTAAAAAAAAAAGAAGGGCAAACAAACAATTAATTTTTTTTGGCCTTATTATAAAAACTATACAGATGATAATAATAAGATGGGAAAAATGATCGAAGATAATGATGACATTACCCAATTGCACCTGCAAATGGCCAACTGATAAAAGTACTCAATGCTGTTGCGAGTATAGCCACCTTCAAGTGAGAGACAAAAACATTAGTAAATCAAGTATGTATGCACAGTTATTGTTTAAACCCTACAGCGGTAACATCAGTATTTCAACGATAGGATTGCAGTGAAAATGATGTAGCAAAAGAAAGTGAACTTATGGAAACCATGCCTTAGCAGTGGTGTATCTAGGGGTGCCTCAAACCACCCCCTAAAAAAACTTGCATCCCCCAGTCCCCAACCATTAAAAATGATTAAAAAAAAAACCACGCTCAAGTAGATAAAAATCCCCTCATATCCTTTTTTTGTGAGCTACTGCTGTCTTACTTTAATCATCAAATACTCCGAGATATGCCACTGTAAGGCCAAGCCTAATTCTAGTGTTATTTGGCACACCCAGCCCAGGAAATTAGGAAAAAATTAGGTCGGCAAATATTTGCCGACCTTAAATTCTCCGAGGTCAGCAGCCTCGGCAATTTTTTACTACCTAGGCCTATAGAGTATAAACTACGATTTTTCCGAACGCTCGACCTTACATCGTCATCTACAGATTGTGATTTTGTTAATTTCTCTATTAATTCAATATATTGCTGGTGAAAGAATGGTCGTACTTGTATTAATTTAATAGTGTAATATAATACATATGTTTTACATAAAAAAATCGCCGAATAAATTTCGTTTTAGCGTTCAGTTTATCGTTATCTTTGGCATGGGAAATATCACTTTCGTAAAAAACTAGACGATTGTATCATCATCACAGGCTGCTTTAAAACTGCCCATGCATGTCCATGCGCATGCCCAGAATGATCTATTAGGGATTTTCCACATATGTACTGTAGTACTTGTCAGTAGAGAAGTCGCGATGTGATCGTGATTGCGTTTAAACGGACGGTAGGATTAGGCCTACAATATGGTGAATTTTGTTGTTTTTGGATAATAAACAACATTTTAAATACGATAATAATCCTTACGATCTATGCGGCTCACGTGGCTTCAATATATATATATATATATATAGATTTATTGATTGTTAAATTAATTGCGAAGGAAGCCCTTAAGTTTCCCTCGACACATGCTGCATTATGACTTCAACTTTTTTTTTTTTTTTTTTTCCTCCCCCACCCCTTTTTTTTGATAAAGTTTTTTAT